AGGAGTCCTGGTTTCCAGTCCCCTCCCTTCTCTAACCACTGGAGTCCTGGCTTCTCCCCTGCCCCCACTGTAACCACTAGACCCCACTCCCCTCCCAGAGCCAGGGATGGAACACAGGAATCCTGGCTTCTCCCTCCCCCCCCCCCCACCTGCCCCTGCTGTAACCATTAGACCCCACTCCCCTCCCAGAGGCAGGGATAGAACCGGAGTCCTGACTCCCATTTTCTACCCCACCATCACAAATAAGTTTGTTTGTTTTTTAATCAATCACCTGCAAAACAATCTCTCGTTTTGCTGAACCGTACCCTGATTGCACCAAAGCAAGGTTGATCCCAGACCAGGGGCGCTGAACTCCCACAATCCTCCATTGGGAGCCGCAAGGCGCCCCCTGCAGGGCCCCAAAATAGCACCACAGCCCATGGCCTCCCGTTACCCCCTGGTTTGCTTTCCCCCTCCGCGGGGGGAGACTGCACAGCTGGCACGGACCAGGTGCCCCTGGGGACAAGTCTGGAGAGCCTGTGGAGGCCAGCGAGTCGCATGTTGCTCTGATACCCGCTGACTCCCCAGCCGGTGTCCATCAGCCCAACACCGGTTTACTCTCGCTGAGGATCCAACTCCGAAATCTCTCCCGCGTGGGGATTTCTGCCATGGCCAGTGGACTGAGCTCCATGCCACGGTCAAGATCCCCCCCCTCGCCCCGACCATGGGGCTCCCTGGTCCCTCTTCAAACATCTGTCTCGAAGGCCTTGATGAGGACATTGTGGGCGTCCCTGGCGACTTCGTCGAGGAAGCTGCGGAGCATGTAATAGGTGGTTCCGAAGGAGATCCCCCCGGCCGCCATGGACCCGAACACTGGCACCGTGCTGGCCAGGTACTCTATGAACATCAGCGCTCCCCCTCCGGCTTTGGTCAGCAACTTCAGCACCAGGTCCCTGGAGATCTCCTTGACCAGAGGCGACTTGATGGCCTCCTTGATGTCCTCCACGGGTTTGCCCACCTTCTCGGCCAGCTTGCAGAGCGACTCGTCGTCCAAGCCGAAGGTCTGGCGGTACGCGGAGAGGGTTTTGACCAGGATGGTCACGTCGCAGACCACCGAGAGCCCCGGGATGGGGACAGCGGCCACTCCGCAGGAGATGGCAGCCAGTTTCCAGATCTGCCTCTGCATGGCTTCCTTCTTCCTCTGCAGGATGCTCAGCGAAAGGTTGGGCAAAGCCAGGAGGAACGCGTGTCTCTTGTGGGCAGGCAGCTCCTTCTCCAAGGTCTCCTCCAGCGCCAGGAAGTCGTAGCTGCCCAGCTCCCAGCTGGAGAGGAGGAAGACAGTCGGGGAAGCCACCCCTTCGGCCAGGAGCCGCCGGCAGCAGTCGTCCCGGATCTGCGTCAGGACCCCCTGCTCGCTGTAGCTGGCCGGCCGCCTTCTTCTGGCCGCGTCCAGGTCGGCGTCCACCTTGGAGCGCACGAGGTAGAAGCGCTTGCCCATCTTCTGGATCTCCCGGGCCAGCTGGGCGTGGTTGGCTCGGAAGCGCTCGGAGGCGATGAGGATGAAGAAATCATAGCGGGGGAAGCCCACCCGCTCTAGGTAGGCGTGGGACTGGAACTCGGAGGTGCCGATGCCCGGCAGGTCCCACATCGTCACGTTGGGGTGCTTGGGGTGGGGGTACGGGGTCGGCTCCATGGTGGTCTCCACCACCCCCGTGGCGGCCGCTCCCTCGTCATCATCCTGCAGGCCGCGGATGGCGTTGACGAAGGAGGATTTGCCGGAGCCAGACTCCCCGGTCACGGCAATGTCCAGCTGGGCGTTCTCCAAGTCCTCCAGGCTCTCCAGGATCTTCGAGGCGGCTTCGTCCAGCCGTCCCCCTTCCAGGGCGTCTCGGAGCTCCGCGATGTCCTC